TTTTTTTTTTTTTTTTTTAATTTTTTTCCCCTTTTTTAACTTGGGAGCCAGAACTCTGCAAGGCAACAAGTAGCTGTGAGCCTTCCCTGGTAAGATTCAGATCCAGCTTTCACTCAGGCATTGATTTTACTGAAATTCTGCCAAAGGGCTCAAGCATTGAATCCTGCCAGCGTTAATTAAGGGGTCTTTAAAAAACCCTGAAAGAATTGGAGGAAGAGCCCTGATCAGATAAATATCCTTGGAGTTTTAWGCAGATAGTTCCCAGAATGATCACTCAGCTGGTGGAAAAGAGCCTTCAGCTTTTACTTTCCATGAAAYGATGCAGAGGGGGCAGGTGAGGATCCATCCTGTAGAGACTCCCTTCCCTAAGAGGCTGCAGCATCCCTGTTTTTCTGGGATTTCTCCGGGTGTCTGTGCAGGATTTGTACCCAGAGCTTTGCAGGAGCATCTTGACCTGGTCTAGCCAAGAGCAGATGGAGAGAGACACAAAGAGGAGAACGGGGTTGAAGAGGAAGGAAAATAAYGCTCGGAAGGAGTCAGTCCTTTGGGTTTGGGGTGAACTCGTTGTGATGCCTAAATCAGGCTTACCCAAAACAGACAAAATCCAGAGAATCCAAAGCAGTTCTGTTCATTGCAGCGCCTTCAGGGCCATCCAGGGCAGTCCCAGCCCAGCCAGGGGCTGCACCCACAATGGACAATGGCTCACGGCTTTTTCACCCTTTCTCACTTTTGTCCATTTGCACATCGGGATTTGCTGAATCCTCCAATTGCAGCYGCAGCCAATGCAGTCAAAAACTCCACCCTGGCTCCCCCCAGTTCTCTCTTGTTTCCATCTCTTGGGGCCTGGCCCAGGGAGGTGTCCTTGAGTTTGGGGCTGCAGAGGAATTGTTTTGTGTAAAAATGGGAGAGCAGGAGCTCASCACTGTCTGTGGAGTCTGGAGTTAAACACTGAAGAATCMCAGGGGTACAGAGACATGGAAATRGAGAAACTGAAATCCTGAGGGAGCACTGGCACTGGGGGCTGGGACAGGAGGGCAGCAGCCACACCCTGCCCTGCCCAGGGACAGAGAAGAGCAGAGGAGGTGGCACTGGTGGCTCCTGGCAGAGTTTATCCACCCCGGTGGCTGCCAAACCCCATCAGAGGCACAGGGAGGGAGCCCTGCCCGGGTCCTGCAGCCCCACGGGGCCAGGGGGGTGTGGGGGTGCCCGGCCAGCCTTCCCTCGGACACCTGAGGTGGCCACTGAGGGCCACTGAGCCCAGAACATGGCCCTGACCATCCCCATTCCCAGGAATCGGTGTTTCCAAGGGCAGGTTTTGGTGGCACACAGGATTTAGGGCCCGGTTTTGGGGTCACCCCAGAACCCCTGGGGGTGTTCCCTCCCTGCCCAGCTGAATTCCCACAGCAGCCCTGCTCCCTGAGGGGTTGATCCTTGGTGTGTCACCCTCGGAGGGGCTCTGGACAGGGATTTATCTGCGGGGGCACTGTGGGGTGCCCTGCCTGGGGGTTCGGCGGCAGCAGCAGGGGGATTTCAGCATCCCAAGTTTGTGTTCTCATTTCCCAAATGGATTCCAGCTCCGTGAAGCTGCRGGTTGGACCRCTTGGATGCYTTTTTGCTTTTTTCCCMCTCCTTTTCAGACAATGAAAATTGTCTGAATTTGCTGGGGGCAGAGGTGTCCGTGAGAACACGCTCCCTGCTCAGGGCTGCGTTTGGGGCCAGCGCAGAAATCCTGGTTTGGGGTGRAGAAAGGGCTCTGATTTGGGGCAARGAGCTGAGCCAGGCCGGCYTCATCCTCACAGCTGASCTTGGGGCTGAGGGCAGTTAAACACGAGGCTGAAAAATCAGCAATCTCTCTTTTTTGGAGCAGTTTGGCTGCATTTAAGTGATTAAACATCCCTGGAATCCCCGTCCGGGTTGGGTGCCAGATTCACGGGGATACAGAGCCAGCCTTTGTCTCGCGTGGTCTTTCCTGCTGGAGCTGCTCCATTTTGTACRAAATGGGCTGAAATAAATAATTGATAATAACAGGAGGAGCTGAGGTGGCAGCTGGGTGGTTGTGGYGCTGTCTGAGGGGTGAGGGCACCATGGGTGATGCTCTGCTCCAGGGAAGAGTGGCATTTCCATCCCTGATACCCAGAGCAGCAGCARCAGAGCTTGAGAGGGACCTCAGTCCTTACCTGGAGGTTGTAATAAAGTGGGATAATTCATTTTTTCCCTCCTTTTTTCATTTTGTTTCAGTGAGAAAACCAACCCTGGTGTTCCTCAGCACCCTGAGGTGCCAGGAAGGCCAAGGGCACCCAGGGAGTGGGGAATGCTCAGCCAGGGCTGGGAAATTCAAACACTCCTTGGTGGAGCTCCAGCAGGGCCCAGGTTTCTTCTCACCACCCCCTCARCCCTAAAATCCCTGGGAGTGTCCAAGGCCAGGCTGGACAGGGCCTGGAGCCCCCTGGGATCGTGGAACWGGATGGGCTTTAAGCTCCCTCCCAACCCGAACCAGGCTGGGATTTTAGGAATCATTTTGGAATGATTTTAGAATCATTAATCATAAATCATAATTATTCCCCATCATCCCACAAAGCAATGTGTCCTTCGGCAGACCCTCACATTTTAACCCCGTTTGAGTGGGAAGTTGGTTTCAGTTTCTGTCACTTCCTCTTCTTGTGAGTCCTGCATGGGGGTTTAGTTCTGAGTTAGGTTTAGTTCTGAGCTTGGTTTAGTTCTGAGTTCAGTTTAGTTCTAAGTTTAATTTTTCTTTTTTAGTTTTTCTAAGTTCAGTTTAGTTCTAGATTCAGTTTAGTTCTGCGTTCAGTTTAGTTCTGTTTGGTTTATTTCTAAGTTTGGTTTAGTTCTAAATTCAGTTTAGTTCTGAGTTTGGTTTAGTTCCAGGTTTGGTTTAGTTCTAGGTTTAATTTAGTTCTGAGTTTGGTTTAGTTCTAAGTTTAATTTTTCTTTTTTAGTTTTTCTAAGTTCAGTTTAGTTCTACATTTATAGTTCTGTTTGGTTTGGTTCTAAGTTCAGTTTAGTTCTGAGTTCAGTTTAGTTCTGTTTGGTTTAGTTCTGAGTTTAGTTTAGTTCTCAGTTTAATTTAGTTCTATGTTTGGTTTAGTGCTAAGTTCATTTTAGTTCTAAGTTCRGTTTAGTTCTGAGTTCAGTTTAATTCTGAGTTTGTTTTAGTTCTGAGTTCAGTTTGGTTCTGTTGGTTTGGTTCTGAGTTTAGCTTAGTTCTCAGTTTAGTTTAGTTCTATGTCTGCTTTATTTCTAAGTTTGGTTTAGTTCTGAGTTCAGTTTAGTGCTAAGTTCGGTTTAGTACTCAGTTTAGTTTAGTTCTGAGTTTGGTTTATTTCTAAGTTCACTTT